GAGTGCTGGGATTAAAGGCATGTGCCACCACTGCCCGGCTCAACTCTTCTTTTGAGGAAGAAGAAATATGAAGAACCAGAGAAAAGTGGACTTAACTTTAAATTCAAAATATTTCTCTTCTCATGTTATTTAAGAAATTCAAAAAGTTGTGAAATGAATACATTTTCCCTAATGATATTCTTATATGAATACAGACATGGTCACTTTTATTTCTTCCAAATAATTTCTAACCAAGTATTCACCAAGACTATTTTAAAGCTATTGTCCCATGGAAATATGGAAGTAGTCATAACTTAGATGTTGATTTTTGAATTGAAGCAGTTAGTAAATGGAAGTCGGGTCAGTGTTGAAAGATGCAGACAATATTTGAAAGGAGCTAATAGGGATTTCTCACACTTCCTAGTTTCTCTTTGGGAGTCTTAATAGGTGAGAATTCAGTACTTGGACTCATGATCCTGGTGAGGAGTAGAGTCCAGGGATCAAAAGCACGGGCCAGATCCTGGTCCCATCTGTCACAAGGCATGCCACTATCACTGAGGTTTAGTAGCTCCATCTCAATGTAGAGGATAAAAAACCACCTTGTAGGGTTGGGGAGATGGCTCCGCTGATAAAGTACTTGCTGGGCAAGCATGTTGACCTGACATGGTGGTGCGGGTCTGTAATCCAGTGCTGAGGAGGCAGAGACAGGAAGAGCGCCAAGGCTCATTGGCTAGTCAGTCTAGCTATCAGAATTAGAGCGCTTTGGGCTCAGTGACAGACTCCAGCTCAAAAAATAAAGTGGAGAGCAATTGAGGAAGACACCTGAAGATAACATCTGGCCTGTACACACATAGAGGGAAGGAGGGAGGGAAGGAAGGGAGGAGGGAGGGAGGGAGGAAGGGGAGAGAGAGAATACATTTGTAAAAATAAACTTGCACAATGGTTAAGAGAATGAATGAGATCGTCTGTGATGACCCAGAGCAAATTCTCTGTCAACGGTAAGTTGGTGTCAGGATAGACAAAACCCACACACAAACGTCAGAATGATTTGCTGGAGTCGTGAAGCAGTGTCTCCTTGGCTGACTCTCTCCGGGACAGGCAGGGAATGCAACAGACAAGTTGTGTTGGAAGAAACAAAAGCACTGACCAGATTTAAGAGAGGAGGCGGGGCAGAGGCAGGGTTAGACTGAGCTCCGGAGGCTCTGCCTATAGCTTGAATGGACTCTCCCCTAGGACCGGAGTAATAGAACTTTACAGCAGCTACATGAGAACTGCTTTGGAATTTGTGATGCTTTTAAATATGGTTTAAAATTACAATACCCAAAGCTGGTGAAGTCTCAATCAACTGCCATGCCTGTAAGCTCATGACGGCAAACTATCTTTCTTATAAATAATTTGGCCATGAGGATTAGAAGTTAAACAAATATTTGTTCTTTTTCACTTGGTTCTTATTGTCCTTACTGAAGGAAAAGGAAGGAGGTGATTGCTTTTACCACATATATTGGAGAGGAACCCCCACTCTCGAAAGCAGCTGCAGTGACTTAAAGGCTATTTAAGAAGGCTGTGTAGCAACGTGTCCCAGTTGCTTGGTGCATAACAAAATTACCTTAAAACATAGCAGCTTGAAGCAATCATTTTGCTTTGTTCACAGTTTTTTTCTTTTTTTTAGCAGGAACTCAGAAGGAGTTCAACTCCTGCTTGGAGTGTGTCAAGGACTGTGTGTATATCTCCAGCATGGCTGTAGTCGTTGGGCGGCTTGACCTGGCTCTCTGTCCACGCTGCAGTCATCAGAGGCTTGACCTGGCTCTCTGTCCACGCTGCAGTCATCAGAGGCTTGACCTGGCTCTC